CGTATTGACCGGTTTTTAATCAGTGAACTGTTAAAACGTATTGACCGGTTTTTAATCAGTGAACTGTTAAAACGTATTGACCGGTTTTTAATCAGTGAACTGTTAAAACGTATTGACCGGTTTTTAATCAGTGAACTGTTAAAACGTATTGACCGGTTTTTAATCAGTGAACTGTTAAAAAGTCAAGATGTTTTAACAGTTCACTAGTTTAATATCAGTCAAGATGTTTTAACAGTTCACTAGTTTAATATCAGTCAAGATGTTTTAACAGTTCACTAGTTTAATATCAGTCAATACGGATATTAAACTAGTGAACTGTTAAAACATCTTGACTGATATTAAACTAGTGAACTGTTAAAACATCTTGACTGATATTAAATTAGTGAACTGTTAAAACATCTTGACTGATATTAAATTAGTGAACTGTTAAAACATTTTGACTGATATTAAACTAGTGAATTATTTATATTTCTTGACTGATATCATATTAGTGAACCATTTATATTTCTTGACTGATCATCATATTAGTGAACCATTTATATTTCATGACTGATATCATATTAGTGAATTATTTATATTTCTTGACAGATATCATGAAGAGAACCACAACTGCTACACTTTTGTTCTGACATTTCTTAGAACATTACAGCTGAAGGAGTTGAAATCATCTCTTCAGAATAAAATGCGATTCTGCATGGATTTTATCATCCCTCGCACTCGTGGTGCAGCCAAATATATTGCTCTTTTCCGCATCTTGCAGAAAGATGGCGTTTGTGTTCAGTGCTAGTATTGTAAGTGGTAGACGGTATAGTTTATCAAGATGCTCGGTCCACGGCAGTGGTTTGTTTTTAAAAGTAAGATTTTTACTAATTCTACATAATGTAGTGGATATTTATGTTCTCTTACTGAATATTTAGAGCATTATTTTAAATGATATTTGTGTTTGTTCCTAGACTTCATCTCTTTTCTATAATCATTTTCAATGAATGTTTTAACAAATTTTACATATACGTATGTATCCCATTAGAAAATTCTGGTTTTATTCACATATGCATTAGAAATAATGTTGGCTTGGTCATATCTGTGATACCTCTCTTGACATTCAGACGTGCCAGAATTAATTAATGTTTTAATACACTTGAGGTTAAAATTTACGTGTAAGCGTAGAAGATGCGAAGGTTGGTAAACGTAATCCTTGTTCAACAAATTAAATGTCTTAACAGTTATTTACTGCAGATGCATTATTTATAGTCTGTTGTTCAAAACTGGTACAACATAACTTGTTGACCAAGCTGTCTTTCAAAATAAAACACTAGTTTAACAGTATATTTTTTGTACTTCTAGTTGAACTTTTAGTGTTATAGATAGGAATATCTCGGTGATATACTGAACAAATGTTGAAATTCCTACATTTGTCTACTTGTTGAAAAGAAATGGCTTTTTACAATTTAACTGTCATACAAAAATAATCCTCCTATCCACAAGTGTAGTTAATACAGTATGTTATTTTTATTAGTAGTTCGTACCTATTTAACTTTCATATGAACTTTTGCTATTTATTTAATGTCTGCCTGGTGCAGATACTCTATGAATGTGGAGCATTAAGAGTTAGAAATATTTTCTGAAAAATAAATATGGTATTTTAGAAAACTCGTTGAATTGTCTTGTTATTCACCTGATAATTTACAGGCTGCAAATGTGGCCACAAATAATTGGTGCTTGAAACGTGAAGTGAAAATCATGCAGGTGTCTCTTAAAAGTGAAATAAAGATAAAGTTGAGTATTTTGTATAAAGTTTATAAACAGTAATTTCTTTTTTTAGAAGAAAAATAAAATTCTGAAGATATTTAACATACATTTTAATAAATTTTAAGTGTACAAACAGGTTTATGTTATACCTGAAAGTTTGGTGTGCTTTATGTTACAGTTCATGCTGTTAAAATGTAGTAAAACTAAATGCAGTTATATATAAATCAAGTAAACATGTATATACACATGAATGCACATATATACTAGGGCTGAAACAAATATTATAAGTAGTGCTTCGAAGCTTCTTGCAAGATAACTACCGAAGCTTCTTACAATTGAGTATGCTTGTTATATTATAACAATGTATGTATTTAATTTGTTACAGTTTGATTGTACATGAGTTTGACCTTCAGGCATTTGACCTGTCAAAGTTTAATATGACTGGACAGCAGTTGTGTAGTCTGAGCAAGGAAGATTTCCTAGAGTTTGATTACAGGCCTTCTGGGATCTGGAAGCTTTTATTTAGTAGCATTACATACTCCATAGTCTACCATTCTTCCACCACTTTCTTCAGCTTTTCTGCAATGTTTATCCCTGTGTGCCGTTCTGGGAAAGGTAAGGTTTCCAGTACAAAGGCCTGTAGCACCCAGCTGTTATCAATGTAATGCGCTGTTACGGTGATGTAACTTTCTGTCGCGATGCTCGTCCATATATCCGTGGTTAACAATATAAACACTGCTTCTTCACTTAGCCTTTCTTTCAGACATTGTTTGCACGTTGCATGTTTAAGGTTGATATCAGCGGTAAATTGTTTTCTGCTTGGTAAGACATATCCCGGCTCCAATACTTCATTAAGTTACGAAAACCATCGCATTCAACAGTTCGAATGGGGTGTAGGTCTTGAACGATCATTTGAATCGCTCTGTCTGTTATATTCTTTGCATGTGTATCATTGCACTTCTCAGGCCTTACAACTCCATCAAGGGTAGGCGTCTTCCTGTTCTCCGTTGTGGTTGTCTCGATGTCCGGACAGTAAAGAGTCGAGTGCTTCGGCGAGAGGTGATTCCGTAGGTTTGTCGTCCCGCCTAAATAGGCAAATTCTTTTTTACAAATAGTGCACATGGCTTTCCTACGGTCGTGAAGTTTTTTATAAAAACTCCATACGTCCAAAACCTTTTTACAACTACTTCCAACCGCGCCCTTATCTGACGCCATTTTTTCTAATCAAAAATTGTATGCATAGCGCATGCGTATAAATAAACGTGCAAACATTCGAATGGGCACTAGCAGATCCGAAGCCTCTGTCAGCTTCGAAGCTTCGGAATATTCGAATACTTCGTCTCAGCCCTAATATATACAAAACTATAGACATATAATTTCTGAGCCATGAAATTAGACTTTGAGAGATCTTATTAAGAAGGGCTGGAAAAATGTTTATAAGATGTGGCTAAAGTTAGCAGACTAGTTTTATGAAAAATAGTTTAATTAAAGATGTTAGCTTAGTCCTAGCAGCTAAGAAGTCAGTGAGTTTATGCAGGGTGAGTTTGTTTTTGGTACCTCTAATGTCTGAACTGTGTTTACTGATCCATGGACTTAATGCTTGTTCTGTTTCTCTGGCATAATGTAAGCACTGAATGATGATGTTAATTGTGTGTTGGTGGTAAACATTAAGGCATCATTAATATTGAAATGTTTTTGATTGTAATTGTTGTTTGCATAAAATAACATGTTGCAACTTGATCACAGGTACAGGTTACATCCTGTTGTATTTTTGGGTATTTATGATTTACAGTTTTGTTTTTTATGGTGTTACTTGTATGGATGGATAGAGGTCTTTTGTAATCTTTGAGAGTGGAGGATGTGGGGTTGTATGTTGTCACTAGGGGGTTCTACCTTTTTTGATATATTTTTCTGTTCTGTTGATTAGGAGATTTTCCTTTGATTTGTTTATTAATTTTTTTTCTATTAAATATTTTAATATAGAGTTGGTCTTAGTTTTTATTTTACACATTCAGATTTTTTGTTCTTTGAAACAAATTTTCTTTAGTTGAAGAGCTATCCTGTACAGTAGGTTTCTGGTACAGTGTGGGAGAACAGTTGTCTGTAACAAGGTACCCTACTTGATCAGTAGGCTGCATGTAGAGGTCAGTAGTTAAAGATCTGTAACTTCTTTATTATAGTGACATAGTTATGGTGGTGACAAGGTTGTGTATATCTAGTATGAAACTTTCTGTTGAATTAACATTACCTAGCAAGATGAGAAAAGTGTGAAATACAAGTTAATATAACAATGTGGCCCCAATTGTTGGATCATTCCTTCAATGGAAACCAACTTGGTACTCAGAGCTATACCCTTTAAATGAAGATAGTATAAGCAGAGTATTCATACTGAATTGGTCGTGAAATAGACGACAACTTTCTATTTGAGAAACACTTGTAGAAATATATTGGTGATTATACAGTCTACTTATGCAGCTCAAGTGTAAGGGACAATGTTTCAAAAGTCTTCAGCCTTTCATTTTCAGGTCCCAAGATTGTATTTAATGTTGAGGAAAATATGAAATATAAGTAAATTAGAGAATGTAGTCCTGATTATTGAATGATCATTTCTTCAGTGGAGCACATGGCTGTATTGTTGATCAAACTAGCAGATTCTAATTACGTATAATCTTACTAAATTATAGATATCACCATTTAGTGCCAACTCTGTTAATCTTGTTTTAACAGCTTATAATTCCAGGATCTTCAGGTATAATGAAATAAGTAATTTTGTTGGGAAATCTGTGGTATTCTGAACATACGATAGGAAAAGAAATGAGTGATTGAAGATGTTGGTAAATAAAGGCACTAATGTGTTTGAGTATTGTTCCTATTTATGAAGTTATATATTACTGGAATTTTAGGTAGAATGTTGAAGTGATAGACTAAGATCTTGAGGAATGAAGAAATCTAGCAATACATTACAGGTCAATAATATGAATTAATGGTGCTATTGTGTAGTTATGTAAGCTGTTTATTTGATGACATACTAATTATTAATACCCATGTTAATCATATTAAGAATTTTTAATTCTGTTTTTGTACAAACAGATGTTCTCTATGAAGTCTTATTTAGGTTTATTAAGTATAAGACCATACATCCTTAACTCTTAACACATTTTTGTATTTTGTTTCTTCTATCATAGAAAAAAAAACACATTAAAAATCACTCTTGTTAATTTTGGTGAATGTCCAGAAAAAGCTTCTTTTTTCATTAAATACTGGTTTAACCATACCAGCCTTCTTTCATTACTTTTCAATCTTCTTATTTGTACAAATGAAATATCTAGTATAGGCTCCAAAACTAATGTTCAGAAAGCAGAATAAATTATTTATTATTTAAATACTTATGAAAATACAAAACCAAACTGAAAATTAGTGTTGGAATAAATTAAACAAGTCACCTGTCAGGATATCTCAATATGGATGATAAGATAACAACAAGTTAAACATTATACAAGTATTGTAAAGTTACAGTATTTCAAACAGCCTTATGAAGTGTCACAATGTAGATAATGAGTCATGCAGCTATCACCAGGTCACAGTGTTCCTAACAATCTTTAAACGGGTATCTTGAAGTTAAAGTCTTAGACTTGCAATCTTTCCAACATAATCTTATATATACAACAGATTCATGAAGAATGCAACCAGAGTATTTGTAGATGTGTTGTTCATAATTAGCCTTTCCAACATAGCTTTATTGTTTATCATGTATGGTATTTCTAAGGTAGATTTATACATAATTTATCAATTTACAATCTCTCTGTTGAACGACAAAGAATGCTAGCTGAGAGTATTCATGCTGCAAAACCTAAAGAAACTAGTCCATCACCAAGCTATTTCATGGAAGTTTTTTTGACAGAAATTGAAAGAAGTGTTTCTGTTTCGGATTTTGGTCCAATTTTCCTGTACCTGTCCAGGAGCAGCTTTCCAACAACTAGTACCAACTAAAAACAATATGTTATAAACATTCTTTAGAAGTTACATTCAGTGAGTGCTATTAACTCCATACCATTCAAAAAATAACCTCTTATGTTTTCAAATAATAATATTTACATTATAACTAATTTCAAATAGTTATATAGTGCAAAAAAATATCAAATATATTTCAAAATGTAAAGAAAAAAACTAAACCAATAAAAAAGATTGGGAAGTGTAAGAAACAAAAAGAAAAACATGAATACAACTTTACACACCAGTATTAAATACAGTTTAAGTAAAGACAATGCAATAAATCATAAAAACAATATGTTATAAACTAGTATTAAATATAGAAAGTTATAATTTTCCTATAAATACTTCCCTCTGCTCACAAGATTAGCTTTTCCCATTTTGTGCAAACTTTTTTATAACACCTGCCAAAAGCCTTCTGCACCACCCTATTGGAATGAAAGATTCCAACATGTCTCTCATGCAATTCATCATGAGTCATCTCTCCACCAATAGGCACATGTGACTCCCTCTATGTGCCACTACCGAACCATCACTTTGAAGTTTGGCAGATGATGTAAGCACCGGAGGGAAGTACCTATCGGATATACATTTTCAGTATAGGAAATTATAACCTCTGATATGGTACTTCTATTATACCCCCCCCCCCCCCGCTTCTGAACCAGCTATCTCCTTACCATGAACAGCTAGAAACAAACATGGTGGAAAAGGAAGGGAGCACATCCAAGTAGGAGAGAATAAGTCACGAAACTATTTCACAGTGGGTAATGGAGGATGCGTCCCATGGTGTAGAATGGCTAGGACATGGTGGACTGTACTTGGTATGTCAACAATATCCAAAACCTCCTCATTGGGTACTGATGTCCACGAGAGGCTAGGTTGAGAATCATACCAGCTTCACCTCAAACCCCAAAATCATGGATGTGAGGAAAACACCAACTCCAGGGCACAACACAGGATCAGCATTGAGCCAGGGATACGGGAATGTGTCAGCTGGTATCTCATGAAATCAACTTCCACGACCAGGTGACTGATCCGAAACATTCAAAGGTCAGTAACATCTCTATTGCAAGAGAGTGCCCAGTACAGCAATGGAAATATCCCACATATACCCTCCATGACCCAGTACACAGAAGGAAGAATCAAGGCAAGAAGATGGACAACTCCAAACCTTTGTGAGGATTTAAGTTGATTGGTTCAAAACCAGCCTATGAGGTACTGACATCCTCATGAAGATAGGATGAGGGCACCCAATCGAAGGGGTGAACTGCATTTAGACGTCTTACTCCGTGGTATGTGCCACTCATAATCTGGAGGATTTTATGCTTTCTACACTGGCAGAATGCCACTGCCCTACTCTGAACTGAATGGTAATAGCCATCTATGTGGAACCAATACACCATGATGCCTCCATGGTCAACCACCCCAGCAGCTTGGAATTGGCAAGTGGTAAGGACTCCCATACTCGACTGGAAGAAGAGGGGGGAATGTGGTGGAAGACGGTCTAGGAGGAAG